AACCAAAAAGGCGCGTTGTCGTCAACGTGTTAAAAAAGTGCACCTCCTCTACTTGCACAGAGCCCTGCAGCAACTGGTACTGTATAAAACATACATAAGGGGGATAGTTAGGTGCAGGTTTATTATATTAACTTTTAAGGCGCCCATGTCGTTGGTGGGGAGGGGAGGATGTGTGAACCACTTACATTACTAGGGTCTAAGCTTCAAGGTGAGAAACGATTCGGGAGAATGATGTGAGTTTTCCCTGGCGTTTCTCCCCTCCCTCCTGGGCTTAGTCCTTGAACTAATACCTTCGGTTTCAGAATGCCCTGCTTTGAATGTTCCTTCCTCCCTCTCCCCCTCCAATGCAAAGAGCGCCACTGTTCACTCCTATGTCGTTCCTTCCCAGCAACGTGGAATTATCGAAATAGAACGTTCGTGGTCATTTTCTACATAACTCAAAATCCTTTCAGCACCCGCATCCAGTCGCCACATTATCGCTGCATATGGACATTTAATGCACTGCATAATATCGGTTCCAACGTTTCCGTAATGTGAACTCAACCTCAGAGTTTCCGTACAGCTGGTATGTGCATTCAAATATTGCTCCAGCTGCTAGAAAGACACCAACGATAAACTATGCCATAGCTAGCACAGCCCTTCGGTGTTCATTTTACCATCACCAATTATGCATGCTCCCTTTCAAAAAACGAGAACAGCGTCGGGTGCAGACCATACACAAGTGAAGACGGCCTCCACAAAATGTAAATGTTTTCTGGAAATGAAATGATTGGCCTGTTGCAGCGGTATTTTATCAGTTAGTATTTAGTATTAGTATTTATTACATGCCCGGTATGGAACATGTGAAGAAGAAACATATAAACAAACACAAAACATGCTTGTACTTAATACACTAGTAGTGTGTATGGAACAAAACTTAAAAAGTGATAAGAAGTGTAAAAAAAGAAACAGAAAATAGAATTAACATACCAACAAGAAAAACAAGTAACAACTAGCTATGATCCTTGAGATGGGAAATTTCTCGTCTCATGGCGGTGAGTTTGAGTGTAGAAGAGTTATTTTTGCTAAACTTCGCGTACTCTGAGCCGGCTCTATGAGTAAAGAAATGTCTGCCAAGTGGAGTCCTGACCGGAGCGATGCATAGTTTATTTGGACTACCTCTGTGTCTTAGAAAATTTGAATGAAATTAGCTTGGCGGCCATCAAAGTTGATAAACCCTGTATAATTTATAGCACGAAGTATTAAATCATTCATCAATTCCTTCTTGCTAGCGATCAGATTTCAAATTCGTGTTCGTACTAACAAGCACGAGGAATTGCATTATAAGTGTTCCCAAGGTGCCCTATAAAAAAACCTTCCGATGAAACGTTATTTCACATCTTCTCGAGTGGCGCTGCATAATTTTTTCATTGTGCGATGAAAAATATAAAATTCCATGTTCAAGATAGGTCTAACGTCAGTCAGTTGTCACAAATTACAACTATTCATTTATCAAATTCAGCTACCCGTTATGAACCCACTTACCGACCAGTTCTCGGGGAGGCCGTCGTCACTTGTGGTGTATGCTTCTACACACCGGACGCTCTTCTTGTTTGAAAGAGAGGGTAACTCGGTTGTCCAAAGTGCAAGTGAATAGCACCAGAGATAAGCCCAGCCGGGGGAACGAACGTCCTGCCAGGAGGCCCGGTGACTAGAATCACCTCAAGGTTGCGAAAAAAGCAAGTCACTGTTGAACAATGAATTCCCTACTAACTCGATATCATTCGCTAACTCGATATCCTATTTGATAACAATTGTTTTGTGACTACCTTATCTTTGAGGTTGCCAAAACAAAAATAGAGTGGTTCGCTGCTGAGTAGAGGCGGAACGAAGACCCATATTTCTTGGACTAACACCTTCCTTAATTTCTTCAAATTGCTTCTATACATCCGCACAAGCAAACTGGCTAAAGTTCATCATCACAGGGAGATAGGAAATGATGCCACCTTGCCATCATGACGGGCGATACATCGACACCTAAATGGACACAGGAGAGCACTAGCCAGTAACAGCCGGTGGGGGGTGTCGTTTGCAGATAACTCTGAATTGTTACTGTGGTTAAAACGCAAAGGGATCAGTTCTACACGAGTATTGTCACGCGATACTTACCTCACGCGCACAGATGTTTCGGCCAACTAAGTAGAATTGGCAGCTGCACGACACACATCGTGGAGCCCACACTTTTGCGCACCATAGGTCTAGACTTTTTTTTGTCGGTCCGTTAAAAATATGCAAACGAGAAGCGAAACGATGAGAAATATAACATTAAACCGTCGATTGAGAGAGTTTTTCGAGTTAAATCAGAACAGTTCCAACGGTAAAAGCCACCAAAATTCTACCCGAAATGGTCGGAAACAAATAGGACGTGATGCGCGGGAAGTTTCATTCCTTACCAGGCGCGGAGATGGTAGGTCGACAGTAGCCATTTAAATATGATGCATAATCACCCGAAAGGTTCTCGAACGCTGGGCTCCAAAACTGTTACTCACATATCTGCGACGATTCTCTCAACAAAGCGTAACGGAACTTGTTGCGATAGGGAGCAGACACAAGTTCAGCACGATATTGTTATTGTTTATTTGTTGTTTGTTGTTTTCGTACGTCAAAAGACGAGTGCCGTCAAACGACAGCGAGATTGCTTCGTAAAGGAAGGATCAAAGTATAAAGAACTAACTCCACAAAAAGACAAGAAAAGTTTCCTAAAAGATGCTACAAGGAGCATTAATACCAAAATCAATACATCATAGGATACTGATACGACTGAGCATGCCAATTAGGGACAACGAACTAAGAAACTTAGCTCGAATACGGTGCAGTGCAAGACAAGGAGCTAGAGGCTTGCTCGCGAAGGAAAACCTGGGTTAATATTTAAAGTGTTGGACTTCCTGACTCCTTTAGCAGACGGTGAGAGATGTGCACATTAGAAATATCCTATAGGCCGCTCACACTAAAGATGAATGCTGGTACCTTGTATCAGAAGGCAATAGCCTCAGGTAGGAGCCCACATCAGCGGCCGGCTGTGATGGCCTTCGCACATCGGAGTCATAGCCAACTTGCCAAAAATCGAGACACGGCGTTTTACCGGCGACGCGAACATGATACGCATGCGATAACTGATATGTGGCGAATGTCGCCTAAATGTGCTGCTAGGTCACAGGGTTGGGGTCTGCTCGATGGGTTCTGTGACCTTTTGCACTGTCGATCATAACTATGCGCATCAATACGGCGTGGCGAACACTTTAGCACGTATTAGAGGAACCTAGACTTGACTTACGAGGGGAATAGAATCTGGTAGAGACGTTTCCGGGCCACGGTTTCAGGCAATTCCAGTCGGGCGCGTTGTTTGCGATCGCTCATTTCTTTTATTCTATAAACCAAGCAAATGGAACGCCCTAAATTTGCTTAGAAAAACTGTCAAATAGGAGTAGAATGGTATGTGAGATGGCCTCAGTGCGAACCTTTTTGCACGATCACCCGAGTATTTCTCTTCGTCTCTCTCTCTCTTCTCTCCTCTCTCTCTCTCTCCTCTCTCTCTCTCTCTCTCTCTGCTCTCATCCTCTCTCATCTCTCTTGCTCTAGTGCAACCATTGCATAAGTGAGTGGCCGCACAGTGAACTCAAAAATTTGCGCTTGTAACGCACACAGTAGACGTTCATGCGTCAAACTAGTGCGACATTCGTATTTAGGAGCTCTAGCTACACATGGGAGCACATTGCTAGCGGAATTAGGATTTTCACCCATCGCCTCCATTGTCCATTGTCTCTAATCATGATCTTTGAAAATGCTGTAATGCGGTAATCGTGAGTAGTGATCAATTTTAGGAAGAGATTCTGGCAACGCAGCGCTAAAAATGAAGGTTATTTCATGTGGGGGCCTTTTACTGAGTCTATTCATGGAGTTTCAACGATCGAATTTTCTTGCCCACAAAAGTTGTACTGGTGGGTGCTGTCGAAGGCACCAGCTACTAGACTTTCTGTGTTACCCATGTATGCCACACTTTTTCCATGTTAAGGGTCAAATTTTCTTGGCTAGAACTTGTGTCAAGCACTAGTTTGAGATCCTCAAAGCGATGGTCACACTCGCTGCCCACGCTAGAATGCCGCAATGCCAAAGTCGGAATATTCAAAAGAAGAATTCATCAAAATACAAATATCTTGCTTTGTTAATGGGCTATGAAAAAAAGTAAAGAAAACTGGAGGAACGGATCCGATCCCCTGCAGAACGGCCCTTTTACCCGATAGGCCATCACACCATTTTCGGGGAAAAAAACCTTCGTAATTTCGTTCACAGCATCGATCAGCAGGTTTAGAAGACAGATTTGGAAGCAGCGTTCGGAGACGTATCAGGAGGTGTGCATCTCATTTCAAACGGCCACTTGGACGTACCATCCTTACCTGGTTAGCGTTTTCCCAAATTTAAAGTCATTGAAATGCATTGCTTCAGAACCAGGAAAAGCTTTTCTATGACCTTATAACCGTAATTTCCTGGAAGCTGACAATCACAACATCATGCTGTTGCCATCGCGGTCACGCTGAAGAGGCGCAACAGATCACCTTCCTTGCACTCCTACAGATGGGTAGCTAACACGTTTTTAAGATTGTGTTGTAGAGAAAGCAGGAAGATCCTTTACTTTATGAATATACAGAAGATCAAGCAGAAACTTATTAAAAGTGTACAACGTTAATTGAAAGTAGCAAATCAGAAACACGTCCGACCTTTAAAACCCTTGGCTAAGAATAACAGCTGAGTAATGGTAGGAAATTATATTCATGGAGTATAGACAAGTAAAAAAGAAAAGATTACGTATAGCACTGAGATATACAGAAAGCAAACAAAAAGTACGGCTCACGCGTACTGGAGGGCATTATTATTGGACTCGAATATATTTGCAAGAGAAATAAGTGCCTTTGTTTTCTGCACACGGATGAAAAACGAGTAAATTGGCATTATAAGGAATTCGATTACTGAAGAGAACAATCCTTCTTGGACTTTTGAGGTGGATAATATGCAGTCTGATTTGGTCCCGCTGGCACTTGCTGAAAACCGGAAGCTGCTGGCCCTTGGTCACCATAACCTCCACCATATCCACCATCTCCGCCGTACTGCTGACTCTGAGCAGGTGGCATACCGTATCCCGGATTTGGTTGAACTGGATTCTGCGGTGACGGCATACCATAGCCTGGATTCGTTTGCGCGGGATTGTACGCAGGATACGGAGGTGCAGCAGATCCAGGTTGAGGGTATGGAGACGGCTGCAGTGAAGGATAGGCCGGTGGTTGCGAAACTGTCTGAGTGTATGACGGCGGATGACCGGCTTTATCCATACCCGACACCTTCATTATACGCAGATGAGTGCCACCAGCCGGCATTCCTGGCAACGGCTGATCGAAATCGCCCCACAGGTAGATGTTTCCTGAAACAATATCGAGTGAGGAAACATATTCATAAATGGTAACTGTACAGCTAAACTGTATATCTCTGAATGAGATCTTCCCTATGAATCAGTGGTCAAATACAGGAAAGTGAGCTTTTGCTGCCATATATTATAATACACGTCATTTGCAGCGCAGTTGCCACCTAATGGCATGTAATCCAAACATCCTGCTTTTCGAATGTAGTAGAGGCAGCTGCAATTTAAGGAATCATAAGTATCCATGTCGTGCTAGTATCCGTGCTGGAAAACAATTCACTGCTCAAAAGACTGCTTAAGGATGTTTTTTTTTCTCGATTCAAAAACAACAACTCTGTCTCACTGACGACCCTTCTGCACACCCGTCTGAAGCTAATGAAGACAACCTGACTGCATTTCTGCCTTTGCATAATCGTTCCATAACTCCAAAATCGGCTCAAGAAACTGGCAAGATGAGTCAAGAACAATTCCTGAGTATCAGAAACCAACAGGAAAGGCGTAAAAGCACTGCGTAATGCACTTCAACGCGACAACGCCCGACCGCATCAGGCTTGTCTTGCCATCACGTTTATCCAAGAACTGAGTTCGAGATTTTCCACTATCCACTCTATTCCAACTACGAAGCGGTTCAATTTTCCTATCTTTCTCTGGATGTAAACGAATTTAGATGTGTTTTTTCGACATCTATGATGAGTTGCGTAAATGGCCCAATTTGTGGTTTACCGCCTAGCATTTTTTCGCAGGAAGAGTGGGAACGAAAACGGACAGTTTGTTAGGCCTAGGGCGTTCAATAAAGGGACAACCGGATAAAGACCTGGTAAGACGAGAAAGCAACGTGGGCAGTCTTCGAAACTCTGAAGAAGCCACAGACTAGGCTAGCTAATTAAGATTTGCGCTAATTTTTCGATTCCACAGTTTCGCTTGAGCTTCGCTATGCGGCAGAGTAATGACAGGTAGACCAAAAAAGAGCTGAGTGTCATCCCGTAGGATTTCGATGGCCCGAAAAAGCTTGAGAGCACTAGTGACGTAAGAAAGCTGCGAAGGTAACTGAACATTCCTCAGGACGCCGTCTTTGTCATCAACAATGGATGGTTATCGAAGGAAGAAGAATGAATGGTTCTTGCCGATGCTCGCACATGAAATGGAGACAACGGAGTATGTACATATAAGTAGGTTTAAGAAACATTTTACGCACACGGCCGACCTATAGTTTTATGGTAAAAAGAATGACAGAAGAAAAAGAAGCTTGCATTCGGGTAGCGGTTTCCTAGCTACAACTTGAAAGGACCGGAGTTCATCCAGATACAGCGCTTTCTGCATCAAAGGACGCGAAGCCACTCGCGATATCGCGGTCGACGCGCGGGGTTTCTTGAGCGACACCCAAAGTAACTGGAAATGCTTTAGAAGGGAAACTTTCAAGAGAGATACTAACTCCGGAACCAAAAAATGCAATAGTTGAACTTGTTCTGAGATTTCAATTTTCTAAAGTGTTCCTGCTAAATCGCCTCCGTTGTGAAACCTCCGCATTTGCTGCTTGTTTAGATTAATCTGACACTGCTTGGCATTTCTCCTTCCCTTCGATATCTTATTCCGCATATCTTGTTGAAGGCAGCTCTCGCGTTAATACAGAAGAAATTTGAAAGAAGAGGCATCAAGTGGTGCACCCAAGAAAAAAAAGTTAAAATTCCATGTATTTAGATCCTTTTTCCGCTCATTGACTTCGGAGGGCTAGTTTACCGGTCACATAGAGGTATGAGAGGGTGTGGGTCGCCAGGAAAGGAAGCGACTTTTTGAGGGTGTGGGTCGCCAGGAAAGGAAGCGATATTTTCCTTTGCACAGCACGAAGGTTTTTTCACTGCGGGAATCTCAGATCCGCCACTGATAGGGGTGGACCTAGAGTTCCAGCAGCGAAAAAGCTTCGCGCTCAATTCGCGTTCTGCTCTCGTGAGCCACACCCAATATTAGACTCTTTGATGTCGACGACAATCCTTCAGTCACATTATTACGTAACGTGATCACAGACGCCAATAATAGGCTTTAAAATAACGGAAAATATCTCAGAAAACAAAAAAGGTGGAGCGCAACGAATCTCAATGACTATGATATAAAAATTAGATAGGGTAATACATTGAAGCTTCTTTAACTAGATTTAGTTGCGGCCAAGTAATAACGGCTTAAGGGGAATTGTACGAACCTGAGTTGCATGCTGTGAGCCTTGGCTCAATGAGAGGCGCTGGCATCTGGGATGGAATCTGCAGCCACTGGAATGTTCTTGTGTCCAACATCCAATAATCGACAAGACGTTGAACATTATGACTGCCGTGATCGATTTCTCCACCAGCCAACAGAATAGCATCTAAAAGCAAGTATCGTTCTCCAGTCATCCGCGATCCGGCCATTCCCGGCAATACCAATGAGAAAAATTCAAGTAGTCCGTAAACCATAACGAATCAGAGAGTGAAAAAACCTACTGGCTACGCCGTCGATACCACAATTCTTCCTTGGCATTGGCATTCCACGCTGAGGGTCAGGAGTGCATTGATGAGTTGTAATCTGCAAATAATAGAAAGGAAACCATAATGACAAGAAACATACGCCGAAGGAAGCCAAGTATCAGAAATCATACAATGTCAGGCTTGTTCAAATTCAACACATGAACACGGGAGTGATCCAAGTGGCCATCCGGTGAAGACGACAGCAAATGTACAGACCTGTAACCCTTGAATGATTGTATTGAAATTAAATATGACTGCATTTGTAATTGTAAGTGACAACTATAGTTGAAGGCACAAAGTGAAAATACATTGCAATTGGGAGATTACTCGGTTCCATCAACCGTCTTTCAGAGGAGAGAAGAAGTAATTCATGAATTTTTCAAATGAACCTACCCATTACTGAGAAATCCATCATAAAAATGAGTGAGATCAGCACCCTGTACTGTGAAGTTGGCAGTTGGAGGCTGCGGTGCATCGGCCATGGCGTTGATGCGCCATACCTGAGCAATGCATGATTTGAACGTCGTTACAAAAAATATGTTTGGGTCAATATCAGGGATACATACTGTTGTAAAGACAGCGTGTAAAGACAACGACGGATGTGACAAGGGACAGACTCGCGTAGGAACAGCGAATAAACGAGTGGAACAGCCCCACGTAGAGTTTAGTTTAGAGTTCAACCACTACAATGCCGAGGTTTATGCAAAGCCGTTCATGGCAAAAAGGAGGAAAGACCGCTTCAAAACCGCAAAGAATCCCCCCGCAGGTTCTACCATCATCCTATAATATCTCAGGGAGAAACAACGAGCAAATGATTGAATAAACTCAATTAAACGGATTCCATATATCCTGACAAAAATAAAAGTAGGATCTAAACCTACGAAGAATAAAGTGACTACAAACCTGGAGTCCTGGGTTGGCCATGACAACAATTTCTGGAGCATCCTCGCGCATTGAGCAGATATACTCCCCGCCAATCGAAAGCGGATTATCGAGCAGAGGGCGACAGTTTGACACTGAAAGGCCATCTCCCGCAAGATCGAGGCGGAACACATGAAGCTGTAAGATTAAGTGCAACTAGATGAAACTTCATCGAATGCCACAGCAAAAAAATAAACGACAAAACCTAACGAGACAGCAACAAAAATACTTACACGTATTTGTCCGTAGATCTGCTCCTCAGTCACCAGCACAAAGGCAGACCCACCTTGAGGTGATGGGCATTTCAGTGCAAAAAGGAATTTCATTGTTCCTGAATAGATTTTTTTGTAGGTAGGAAATCTGCATTAATAACTTTCCAGCGCGCAATTAACATTCAATTACCCACCTTGAGCATGCAGTGGAATTTCGCCGGCAAAGCATTTGAAATTCACGTCAAAAATTACCAAACCAGGATATCCTTTACGAGTACCACTGAAACACTGAGATTACTAGAGCATAACAAAAACGACCTTGTAAGCAAAACAGGCACCCTCAAAATAACCACACAAGTAGTAATGAAGATAGGAAATTTCTTTTCAAAAAATAGAGCATGGTCCTGTTCCCAAACCATCCCTGTGGAGCATGAATGTTATTTCTGCTTATGCTTTAATTTCACAGACTTAGTTTCTGGTTGGCCCATATTTCTCGCTAAGAGATGTCATCTGCGAAAATCGCGTCACAGACCAAAACGAGTAAAAGATCGCATTCAGTTCTAGGCCAGGCGTGCCCATTATGACATCACAAAACGATGACGGACAATGACGTCATCGTTTTTCGATTTTCGCAAGGAATCGACAAGAAACCGCCCTATTCTTATGAAATTAGCTTCTTATCTTTCAAAAGAAAGCTGGATTCGTCACAGTTGAAGCAGATATTTGCAAAATCCACCCTCGGAAGCAACAAATGGATCTAACTAGTAATTAACCAAATAGTTGTATTAGCAAATTTCTACTCAGTTGAACATGTATAATTGTAAAATTTGAAACGTTTATTCTTCAGAATCTCAACAGAAAATGCGGAAAGTCAATAGAAAAACACAAGCTGTATTCAGAACAATGCAGTTACCTGGTTCCACTTCCCTCGTCGGCCATTGGATCATAAAGGAAGTAGAGCTTGCTCATATCTATTGATTCCTGCACATCTTGAAACACCGCGATACGCCATTTTCCATACGTTCGGTCGAGTGGATGGGGTTGTTGTCCCCAATTAACAGTGATATCTTCTGTGTTTACTTGCATCTCTGAATTCTGCAAATTACAAATCGGAAACCCTACTATCAAATAGGAAGCAAGTTGGAGTAGTGTGCAATAAAAACGTTTTAGAACAACAGCACACCATGAATGACCTGCGCCAATTCCCGATCAAAGAGAAATCCAAAGAGAATCAATGCTAGCGATACAGCGCCGCCTCAACCAGTTTTCGCCCTTGACGCGCCTCCGGATTTCTCGCTGTCGCTTAGTCACCCTAGTGAATTGTTCAAGCACTTGACTTGTTTACATATTGCGGGATTTTTGAACCCAACAAAAAGCGAACTATTACGAGCACATCTGATAAACACTTTATAAATAACATTCTTCACAACACTTTTGCAGCTACCCGACCAGAAGTGATTAAAGCAATAATAATGGCGTGCACATTCACACACAAAGTAAATTGGTTAAATCAGGAGATACACGTGGCAAAATGTCGCATCACATCTATGGAACTAACGTAGAATACTCTGTCAAAAGCCTCAAAATTCTTATTCATAAAAACTCAAACTACTAGTTTAACGACCACTACTCATCACAAAAACAATGCTTCTAAAAAGCCAGCTGTATAATTCAGCGCGTATCATTAGAAACCAGTGAATGGTGCGATGCTCAGAGCTTAAACTGAACAACCAGTCGCACGTTATCAAAACAAGAAAGAAAGAACAGAACTACGGCTAGAATGTAATGATCGTAGAATATACATATTTGGGTTTATACAAATTGAACAAGTAGGCCAAAGCAGGTAGCCAGCGGGAACGGCTGCGGCAACCTTAATAAAACAAGAAACCGTACATAAAATGAAGGAAATTAACTTGTGGGAAAGCTGATTTCTGTTGACTCAGAGTCAGATAACGGACGGAGAGCAAAAATGGCCGTCTTCACTGCTTTTGCACATTCACCAGCTTTTGGAACAAGGAATCTGTAACACGTTGCTTTACGATTAGAAGGCGAAGCAGATAAGTAATAATCAATTGTTGGATCGCATTTGAGCACTGGCCATGATTATATTGTCGAGCACAGATTAGGGCGGAAGCGCACTACATCAAGTTTTTGTTACATTCGAGCGACCCGCATTCCGAGCGACTGGGCAGACCTCCAAAGAACACTGTCATTTGCATGAGTGAGTATGAAAGCGATATACAATGCTAATCGTTCAACTCTAAACACATGCTCACACTTGACAGAGTTAGTGAGGACGAGCTATTTCCAACATGTTCTGCTGATTTTTAGCTGAGTATGTTGAAAAACAGCGACTTCTATCAAGTGCGGCGGCCGCCACATCATTTCCGGTGACACACCTACTCAGACTTGATAATAGATATGGATAAATGGTCACTTGAAGCGAGCACGAAAGTATTAGCAAACAAATAAAAACAAAGCTGATGAGATAGTGTTTCAAAAACCGACCTATGTACTGCAGTGATCTTCGAAACCCCACTTATTTCGTAGCCAAACTTGAAGGTCAGAAGTTCGGGGACTTTCTTCTTGCTGGTGACACGAAGTATCGACGAGAGAGCATGCCGAGCTTCAGTGGTAACATAACCTGCCTGTAAAACAAACAATTTACAACTCGAAAACAGAAAGCCGTGGATGACGACTTTTGCTTACGTTACTAAATATCTGCACTAAAAACATGGAGGGAACACAATGAAAGAAAGACGCGCGTTTGCAGTATTTAGTTTCAGGAATTCCTACCTTTCCATCCACATCTCGTAAAACATGCATATGAGTTCGTGTGATGGCAATATGAGATGGAATCATCATTTTGTTATCCGCTAATTCATGACATTGAAAATGTTCAATGAATTCAGCTTGCTCAGCGAGAAGAAGCTAGAAATGCAACATTGACGTGGGAACAATCAAATGACCTAACCAGTACTTCAAAAAATCACCTCTTCTTTTCCTCCGGACTTGTTGAAGGGTGTGCCACCGCTTTCGTCACTCGAATCATCATCGATTGAGAATACAGACGGCTCGTTACGATATCTATATGAGTTATTTCTCCTTCTGATCAAACAATCATCTCAACAAATCATGACAGAAGCAACGTAAAATAGCTTTCGCACTTTTCATACGCATGCACCCAACTGGCCACGTTCATGTCAGTCATATTATTATATTACATATCATAGCTCCTTTCAGCCAAGATATCGGGATTGATCGACTTCAGCCTGATGGCTGGTAAAAACTAAAAATATTATTCAAAACAGGGTGATCTTGCTAAATCTTGAAACTGAGATAGATCTCGGAAGGCTTAAAAATGAACAGAATACAACAAATGCTTAGCTTCTGGGGCCACTGTTATCAAAACATGTGAAATACTTTAAAATATAATAAATTGCCCATCAATGAAGCCAAAACTCGTCATGTAAAAGGGTGTCCAAAAGCAGATGGGAAGAACGATGAAAGCCCATACTCTACACTCCAAACTCCTTATCGTCTTCATCGCCAGCTTTTCAATGCAAAACAAATTGTATGTAATAAATTGAAATGGTCGACACCCAAGAAGTAGGAGAACGCCTTATAAAAATTACCTTTTCCCATAGCGATCTGATGACAATACATGTTTGACTTCACTGCTGGGCGCATTTCCTGGAGCTGCTTGCGTCACCAACTCGCTAACCTTATCTTTTACAGCGGCTGACTTGGAAATTACTACTTCTTTCATTTTTCCCACCAACTTCTGAAAAATTAGAGTTTCAAAGTCCGAGCTAGTTTTCGAATCTTGGCATAATTTATCACCTACCCAACTCTTAGCCATAGAAGCATTTGCACATTCTCGACACTTAGATTCGTCGTGAGAGTTAATCAGCCGTAAGCGATTCGACTCTGACAAAACGTTATGAAGACCTAAAAACAAGTTTTAGTCTCGACTTGTTTATGAATACTGACTGTTGCTTTTGCCGCAGTTCGCCATGCAAAATTTATCACAAGAACGCTGGATTATGGGCAAGATCCTTAGCCCATGTTGGGAACCGAACCCGCTGTTCTCGCTTGATCCTTGCCACAGCTTCTCAGGTTTCACACGTATAACATGAGCAGCTAACATACGCATTGAACCGCGAGGCTGAAAGCTTTGGCAGGTATAGAGATGAAATTGTTTTCGATCATTAACTTCTATTTTTTGTCACAGATCGCCATGCGCTTTTTTCGCCACAAACCTGCATTCTTGTGATAATCTGCACTTTTTAATGATCTCCGCTCACTAGTTTCAACTTGGTCATACCTCTATAACCACCCTGAGCAAAAGTAACATGACTTTTGCCATCGCGAAGAAATCGAGCAATTACCATATTCATGAACTGATCCTAAACAGCAAGTGTTTGCAAGAAATAAATTAATGACGCGATATAAGCCACAACATCGTTTCTGTTACAAATTAATAAGGGTACACTAACCTGATCTTCATCACCGTATCCAAAGAAACATATGTGTTCGTCGAACTTCTGCTCGTGTTTGTACGACTCTAGGCAGGATAAAGCCATTTCGAACTGACTTGGTGCGTCCACAAGCTATAACGAAACTCATACGGAGATATTTCATAGCACTTTGCAGATCCTAATTCAACGAGGAATATTTGGGAAAATTTTTCATCTTATATAAATGACAACGAAATATGCGTTGTGACGCACCCTCAAAAACAAGTATAGCTTTTATAACACAAGGCAGAAACTGACCAGTTTGCAATCCAGATTGAAGGAACCGTAGATGTGCCCACTATTGTAAGCCTCATTTGAACGACAGTCAATCACAAAGTAGGTTATGGTTGAGGTCTTCAAAAGTTAGGGTTTATTTACAAAACAGTGAAAAAATACTTAATTAGGCTGGTGTCAGACCCCGATCCTTCGCGCGATTCATGACGGATCACAAAAATTAAAGTGCCCAGATCAATACTGCGGCGTGCTCTCCAATCCCACCGCCATTTCCGCTTGATGGCGATGGTTGAATGACGACTGTTCACGATTCTAACTGATTCATATCTAGTGTTTCGAAAGTTCAAATGAGGCACTGCGCTTTGCGCGAATCGCGCGACGGATTGTGGACTGACACCAGTATTAGGCTGCTATCTCGCAGGATTCATAGTATGAAACACGAAACACCTACCGCAACGGCACTACGTTGCCTTCTTGTGAGTTCCTGAATCGTTACTGTCAAACATAAGAGCTTGCTTACTTGCATCTCACAACTTCGTCGTCATAATTGGAACCAAATATTAGGTAATGAAAATCCTGACATTGGCGAAGGTAAAGTAATTATAAATAAAACACTTCCCGAATTGAATTGTAACAGACCTCACGAACGCACTGAGGAGTGCGGTCCGCGTAATATGCAGCCAACTGTACAAAATCCGGGACGTCATCGATAGTTAGTTGATTTGGTAATAAAGCCAGTACTTTGTGCGCCTCTTCGCTGAAGGATTAGTAATTTGGGGGCAAACAGTTAGTTGGGCTTGAGTCATTTCTTACCGCCGGTTAAACCCAATTCCAAGTAATTCATCTCTACTGTTAATGATCAAAACCAAGGCCATGTAGAAGATTAGAAAAGGATCACCCTGCAAAGGATTACATTTTTCGGTTTCGAACAACAGTGAGTATCCCCAACAAGATGTTGAGTAAAATAAACTCACCTTCTCTATGTAGAGTTCCCATAAAATTTTGCACACACCATCATCAACACTAGATGCTAGAACAGTGGAAAACCACTGATTTGCATATGAATATGGTGTACATTTCAAGGAATCCAAGTGAGAACTAAAGAAGACATCGATTACCAAACACGCCGATCCGAGTAACGAAAACTTGGAGCAATAAATGAACCTCACGACAGGGTCATGATACTGTAGCAGAAGTCGAAACAGATCATAAATTTGAGCGTTTTCTTTTGTTTCTCTATAAGAAATGCACATAAGCCAGTATATCAAAGTCAACGAAAGAAGAAAATGGCTCACTTCGGAATGTATTTAGTTGTGAACGCAAAGAACACATTGAAGAGGTGTTCTTGAGGTAAGTCAAACTTTAGAATTTTCTCTAACACCTGAAAATAACGACCGTTTAACAATATCTCTTAATATTGTGCTGTCCGGAGCCTCATCAGCACCTAAATATTGTATAACACAGAGAGGCACCAAAATTTTATTCAAAAGAATTCCGAAAGTGAAAGTTCAAAAATTCCAAAAACTCAAAAGTTTCAAAAGAGCAAAAAGCTATTCGAAAAAGAATCCTTCAAAAATCCTCCGCGATATTTCGGTGTTTAACACCTTCTTCAGGCCTGAAATACATTGATTATAGTAGATATAAATAATTTGGTGAATTACCACACCCATATTTATACCCACATGTGTTTGTCACTGCCAAGTGTAAAGCTGCCCTTACGGCCTTGCCATTGGCAAAAATTGCCCAATATCACGCAATTTTTCATATCACATGCAATGACCGTCACAGTACGTCCGCTACTATTTAAGAAGAGGGTGGTGGGTAAGTCATTTCATTTCTCTTCACTTCAAAGGCGTGGCTCCCGTAAAGGCAGCTTTACACTTGGCAGTGACAAACACATATGGGTATCAATATGGGTATGATAATTCACCAAATTACTTATATCTACTATAATCAATGTATTTCAGGCCTGAAGAAGGTGTTAAATACCGAAATATCGCGGAGGATTTTAAAAGGATTCTTTTCGAATAGCTTTTGAAATTGTGAGTTTTTGGAATTTTGAACTTTCTGAACTTGGAATTCTTTTGAAATAAAATTTTTTGGGCCCCTCTGTGCTATACATAATTTACGTTTGACAATATTCACAATGGTATCTAATTCAAAAAAATGCTCTCACCACTATCCATCCACTATCCTTTTTTGTATCGACGTTACGCTTCTTGCAGTACAGTGTCATGAAAGACTCTAGCTCGGCACAGACTTCTTACTGTCTAACAATTTCGCCAATTTTCGACAATCTGGAAACGCCAATTATACAGCGCACGACCGAGAGAAAAAAGCAGAAAATGATTTGATCTTCCCTACAACCATATAAATTAATTGATAAATACTGTGGAACGGAACGAAACCAAAATCGCCATTCAAACGTCTTCCACACCATTCTCTGAAGTGTCTGGCGCATCTCTCCCAGTGAGGCCGAATACTGATTTATATTAGCTAGCTCACCTCCCGCCAACGCCAAAAGGACGCTTTTGAATTCTCTCATTACCACACAAATGCTTTATATACGAATTGTATACGAATACTCGAATTATTCTACATGTATGAATGAAATTGTCATGAAAGCAGGCCTGGAAAGTATAGGTCATAATAGTTCAATAATTTTGACTTCAAGGAAAATTCGCACCCAGATGAGCCTATCTCGCCACAGTCCCTGAGTTCATGCATGACTGCACCCAATGGCAGAGATCCCAGATGAACCGAAACCGAAGAAACAGAATCTGAGAGCTACACTGAGATGTTGTTCTGACAATAAAGAGCTATAAATGCGTCAAAAACTGACGAACACAAACAGCGCATTCCCTGATTGACAGGCGGAACGCAGCCAGTCGCTATTACCAACTGTTAGTGATTTCTCCACTCATGAAATTTCCAGTCAGAAATACAGTAGAAGGTATTTATGAACACCGGGTCAGTTGTTCGAAGGAGGAAAATTGCTAATGATGAATAAAATCATGCTAAAAACTGCAATATCTGTCAAAGCTTCCGTTCAGGTTCATCAGGATGTGAACTGCTAGCAGCTTCATTCCTTAGCAATTGCATTTAGCATTCTTTATTTTGCACGATTTACGCTGGAGAGAGCATAGAATTAGCTGTGAGCCAGTTGACAATTCCCCATTCCCCTAGAATTGAACCTGGATAAGGAAAGAACTTCGAGGAAAATGGAAATGCTCACGCATATTGAAGACTCCATCACCCCTGAGGCCCCGTCGACCTAAATCCATTCTTTAAATGTCTTGTTGACAATCAGGAGGGGACATTCAAGTGAGTGAGCCACTTATTGTACTTGGAACTAAGCCTTAGAGAAGGGAAGGTATTCAGGAGGAGGATGCGACATTTGGGTTCTCCCTTGCGTTTCTCCACTCTCCTGACCTTAGCCCTAGTGTCATTCACCTGGCTATGTTATAACAGGATGAAAATCGGTGGAGGATTCATCGACGACTCGCCGAAGATTTTTGCCAGAGCCATGGTCGAGGATTCCCTCGACCGTTATACATCTTAGTTGCAAAGATCCACCTCTTCCGCTTCTTTCAATCCCCCCCCCCCACCTCAGGCCATGAGCGCCGTTGTTTTGTTAATTGTCAGAGGGTTTCAGCAGATATATGAACCATCCGTCTAATTGTTTCTTCTTTTAACAGCAGCCCGGAGAAAACCAAATGCATGACCAAAGGTTTTCTTGCCCCTCCCCCTCCCCCTCCCCCCCCACACACACACACCGCACCAATGATTTAGCGAAACGTTCGAAAGCACCATGACTAGCAGTAGCACGAAAATAAGACTGAGGGGTAATATATAGGTGACTAGAATCAAAGAAAATCCAGAGCTTACTTAGTTAGGGGTGTGTGAGGCAGCCGCAGCTAGGTGCGCGACGTCATTGCGCTCTTTAGTGCGAAACGGGATTACATGAGCAAAAGGAAATATAGTGAGTTCAGGTAAAGTCACTGGCTCCCAGACAATACCTAACCATTTGTGCGCGGCCGCGGCGAACGCGGCCGAGTCGATACACCCGCGAACCCTTGAAAACGCACTCGAGGTGCCCGCGAACTGTGCTTGCTGAGTTCGTGGGCACTCATCAACTCGGCCGCGTTCGCCGCGGCCGCGCCCTAATGGTTAGGTATTGTCTGGGAGCCAAAGTCACTTAACACGCGTGAAGATCTGCAATAAGCGAGTCTACACTTTCTTGCTGGGAAAACGCGGCGGAAATGCAGCGGCTGTGACCCCCCCCCTCAGCTATGTTACCAAGAAAATCCATGCTAATAAGTTTTTTTTTCATGAGACAAAATAGAACAAAAATACAAAAATGACTGCGCTAGCAGAATTACTAAATGGCCTTACCATTTCTAAGACCGACTTGGTTGTTCAAATTGTAAAGCTGGTCCCAGTCATCCAGCGGATTTGGGCGGTTCACAACGCCGAGAAGACGCTAGAATCAATTAGAATTATATGGTCGAAACGGATCAAAATTTCGAAGAAAACTTACCACCCAGAGCAGCTTCTTACTTTCCGGATCGCTAGCGAACGAGACAATGCTTGAACTTGAAACCATCTCCTTATTATAATCTGTCGGCAATGACGAAATTGAAAAATCACTTTCTTTCACCCTTAGAAAAACATACTTGGATTTAAAAGCGATTCTAGATAACTAGGTCAAATTTCTGTAAATGGAACAAGAAATGGATTCTCAAAAGGAACAAAACCACAAGAAGCTCACCAATCATCTCCAATGGTACTTGTGCTTTCGCTATTGATATCGTCACCCATGCTGTGAATGCAAATCGATCGACCGTTATAACTAACAAGCTCCGGTAAATATTTACTTATTCCCACGGCGACAATGAACAAATTATAGAAAAGAGCAGAGTGAAACTAAATGAAGCATATGCATAGGCGTGTACAACTAGGCCACAAGAATCCTCTTTTTACTTTCTTCACGTGATCCGTGAATGCAACAAGAACTGATTCGACCAATAAAGACAATGTTCAAGAACACGAAAGAATAAATTCCGCTCTTCAGTTTTATGTTTTACTTCCCCAGACGACGTTTCTAGTTACCTCGCTGGCAAAAATCATTGAACTTAACAACGATGCCGAGGTTCCATAGAGAGATAATTTGGAGATTTTCGACTATTCGTAAAAGGGAGCGGAAAAATTCTTGAATTCACAAGACAACTACAGACAAGCTGGACAAAGAGCAGGTCTATCTGTTGAAGCGGAGAACAAGAAAAACCATGGTTTATCTTATCACCGCATGCTACAGCTATCCTCCTGAAAAAGGAGGGAAACCATCTCAGAAAGACATACTTCTGCTATAGAAAGAAAAAGAAATATAAACAAAATGCCTTAAAAACCGCTGAAGGATATAGTTTGATAAGGAAAAGGACCTGCTCTTACTTATGTGGAGCAGAAACTCAGAGAGCAAACCCGAATCTCGACAATGACACCATTTCCTGTTATGAACATTGCCCACTGACTACTGGTGACAAGTCATACTTAGAAACTGAATAAGACCTGCGAATAGAGCAACAGTATTCACCTTTACAGTAAGAAGCACATATGTAGACAGATTCCGGTAAATTATTTTCGTGAATGCTAAAGACGCTAAAGGGCATGCTGCGCTGGCGTTGCTTGCCGCTTTGCAGTCTTAAAAAGACATCAAATGCGTGCACTTCGTGTGTTTCTGAAGTTTTGCATAGATGTGAAGGCATTTTGACTGATAGTAAAATTGAGCAGGAAAGGCAGTGCTCATGTCCTTAAAGGGACATTCGAAACAGGTTCAGAAACCGCTGGTAGGTGACACTAGGACTAAGCCCAGGGTTAGGAATAAACACAAAGGAGAACAATGATTGCTCACTTCCTCTCTTAGGATTCTTTCCCTCCCTAGGGCTTAGTACTGTGTTCTATTAGTAGCCCACTCACTTCAATGCTCCTGGTGTCAGAGCCCGCAATCCGTCGCAGGTATCGCTGCTTTTCGCGATTTGCGCGAAACCTGCGACGGATCGCAAACATTGCAAGTGCCCCATTTGAACATATGAAACACTAAATATGAAACAAGTGGAATCATGAGAAGTCGTCATTCAGTCATCACTATCAAGCGGTGGCGGCGAGAACACTTTGCAGTATTGATCGGACCCTTGTGATTTCCGCGACCCGTCGACTGAATCGCGTGAATCGCGCAAATCGCTAAAATCGCGAAAATCGGCGAAACCTGCGACGGATCGCGGACTCTGACACCAGCCTAAGGGCATGAGCGCCGAGAAGGCTTCAGTCCTTTGTCGTCAAACGGGATGTCTGCGCCTTTACATGACCAATAAATCACTTTTGAAAAGACATCTTATGACGGGCTTGTGAAAGATTCAGCGCTGTACCTTGACAAAGAGCATTTTGCTGGGGGTCAAAAAAAGTTGTAAGTGTCATTAGATCTAGGCCACTTTTCAGTCATTAGTCCATCCTCTGACCTCTATCCTTCCCCTAGGCTCCCATATTAGTTCCCTCAGACGAGCCCTTCGACTAAATGCCCGCAAACATCTACCTACTTATGGTTGGCACAGTATAGGATAAGTATCGATCGTCCTTTCGTTACGATCGAACGACCGACTGTGAAATTGCCTACACGTACAGTCGATATCTCGAACTCTGATTGGGCGTGTCACCGGAAATGACGTGGCAGCCACCGCACTTGATAGATGTTGTGTGGATAAAATACTCTGCCAGATATCAGCAAACCGTGTTGGAAGCAGCTTCTCCGCACACCTCCTATCAAGTGCGGTGGCTGCCACGTCATTTCCGGTGACACGCCCAATCAGACTTCGAGATATCGACTGTACCATATGCCACGGTTGAGGTATATCGTGTTACGAAAATCGGCGCTACAGTTCAAGACCGAGTCAACCGTGTGTTTGTGCTCTACCCATTCGTCACTCACAGGACCAAAAAAGAAGGTCAATTAGTTCATAACCCGCCCCCATTTCCTTGACACTGAAAAATCTAGGGAGTAATACGATGTCGACCACCTCCCCCCCCTTTCCCACTGCAGGTGCGGTCACGCTTGCGACGCCTTGCAGTTGAATAGACACGTATTGATCGTGCAACCGCACGGGCGCACTACCGCAAATCGCAGGATCGTGTAGCCGCACGCGCAGGGTACGCGTCGCGATTACATACCACTGGTCAATCACT